GCGCAAGCGAGCGGCTGTGTGGTGCCTGGTTGCCAACAGTGGCTAAACCACAACAACCTTAACGCCTTCTTTTCTTACAAGGATGCACTAATTGAGGTTTGGCAAATTTTGATCGAGCGAACACATGTATTTTCTCAGAGTCCTTGTACTTAGGAGAAAGGTGATAAGAAGAAAGGAGAGATCCAAGAGACTGGATGAATAGTGTAGTAAGAAAAAACAATATCTGTAGGTGGGATTTAGCAAGATAAAGACGTTTAAAGATGCCAGTGAGGACAATGCATGCTAGTGATTTCAGCAGCAACAGAGGAATTTATGAAAAAATAATGCATAAAGTCTGAGCCAAGAATATTTTGTCAGAAATCTTAATATGGCCAATCAATGTCATCTCAGTTTCCTCCACTACCTCAGTTAAGAAAGCCTAAGTACAAGATTGTGTCTACAAATTATGTAACCTCATAAGGAAAGACAAGCATGAAAACACTAAATTAAGTCATACCTAATAATCCATGGGTCTGTTCAGACAGTTTATCACTTTCCAATGTATACAGTCCTAGGAAGTCTTGGTGGAGAGGATGTTTCTTCCATACTTGGTGCAAAACAATAACAAATGAGGCACTGCTGGCCATTGAGAGCACCAGATTTTTCTTCCTGTTAATTATCAAAGTTAAACTGAGGAAAAAAGAAAAACTTGACTTTAGGGCATTGCATTTTCCAGAGTTAACAGCAATAAGAAGAAACCTGAGAAGAAACATGTCCAACAAACAAACAAACATGGCTTTGTAAATTGCTCAGTGTTTTTTAAAATAGAGGTTTTGCTGCCTAATTTGGTCCATGTGAATCTCTGTGCATTCACAGACAGTCCAAGACTCATACTAAATTACACTGTAAAAGGCTACCTAGCCTTTAAACTTGTCAGCAAGATGTTTCTACCAAAACTCGTCCTGTAACAGCACAATTCATCACAGATAGGTCAGTGATATGTAGGTACAGCACCTCATGCTCAGTAATAGAAATGTTACTGATAAAACCATCACTTCCTTGGCTGGATGCTACCTGACACCTTTTCCTTTTGTTTTTCAGAAATGACAACTCCTGAACTGTCTAGGGTAGTGCTAGGATAAAGAAGATTTCCTTCTGATTGTGTTAGTGATATGATCAATGCAGCTATCATAATAAAAAAATAAGCATGCTGTACGAATAACAGTTTTGCTCCGGTGCGCTCTCTGTTGCAGTGCCATGCTTTGAGAAGGCAGTAATTTTGTTCCAGGTACACAATGAAAATGTAAATGAGGAGGAGCTGCTGCCCATTGCTTTTCTAAAACTTCATTTTGCACAGGTATAAATGATTCCATAATAGATAAATCTCATGAAAAATATACCCACTGACAGGGCAAAATGTACCTATTCTATAAATATCACAATTTCCATTTCTTAAAGTGGAGATTGTTTTCAGCACATTATTACATCTTTGTTTGAAAGATTACACACTGTGTCTAAAGCTACTCTTTAAGTATTTGCAAGACACTGTTGCATTAAGCACAATACCAAATCTAGTTTTACCTTAGTTATAGTAATAGAAAATCAGGGAAAATTCTTCACTTACTTATTCCAAGCAGAGGAATTTATGAATAATCATTCAGCAGTTACCCAACAAAGTAGAGAGCAGAATCCAGCAGGACTTGAATCAGTTTCTTTCATATATTCAGACAACAAATCTTAAGTGTATTATTGATCAACACTAAAAGAAGTGTAGATATTAATACAGGAGCCCGATACTCTTTCTGTAAGCCTTACCCTTCTTGTTTCAAGGTGACAGAGTCAAGCCAGGTGAAACCTGTTTTTTCATTGCCATTCTGAATTGTGATCTTCTCAGGAGTTACTGTCAATTTTAAATCCAGGTCCTTATTTGTAATGGCAAGTTTTCCAAAATATGTGTTTTGGATCTTTGCATCACTATTTGCTCTCTTATCACCAATGAGTTCTCCATTGACTGTGATGCCTAATATCAAAAGGAAACATCAAGTATTGTTTTATAGATAGGACCCGATCAACTAATGTCAAGGACTGTCATGGAAATTTAATAACTCAAGGAAACAAATACAAGTTGAAAATGAGATCAGAATTACTTGTGCCTGTTTGTGCCAAAGTAGAATAAAGCTCTGGGGGCTGTTCAGTGGATTTTCACAAAGACAACAATCACTTCATTGAGAAAAGTTTAGTATTTCCTAGAGCACAAAGAGTCTGTGATGGGCACAAGTAGCCTGTGTGACACTGGTCTCTCTTTCCCAGGTATTCCATGAAATGACAACCTAAGGATTATTTTATGGCTTGTACTACCACTCACTAAGACAAATTATGTGTCTCAGCTCTCACAGTAGTTTTCAAGCGAAGTTTAAAAGTTAATTTTGCTCCAGGTGAAAACACAGTCATGGTAATGGTACCCTATCACAGCTACAGGAACTCCTACTAACTTCGCTGGGGAAAAAGCTTATGCGGTATGAGAGAGAGCTAGTCTTTAAACATAAGACATTTTGTTCTAAGTATCCTGGTTCACTGCATTTAAAAAAATTAAAAACTCACCTGTAACTGGGTCATTTATTAAATTTAACACAGCACCCGGGGTTTCATTGATATTGAAACAAATGGCATCTTCTTTTTGTGGCACCGATATAATGAAGTGTGGATCTCCATCAACTGTAAAGGCAAATCACTGGTATTTGTATAGTGATACACAGGTTCAAAGTTCCGCATGAACATTTAATGTTGTGGCAGGAACTGGTCCCTGTACAAGCTGCACGCCCAGCTTAGTCCAAGCCATCCTCCAAAGGAGTGGTGGGGTCCCAAGGAAGATGCTACCATCTCCCCAAAGTGAACTACATCCTTTTCCCCTCATCTTTCCCAGGTACATGACATATATCCTGTGCCTCTTGACCACTGCAAAATTTGGCACGTGGATTGTAGGTTTAGGATGGCTGCCTCTAAGTGCTTATCTCTGAGGGCCATGAAAGTATTACTGAGAGCAGGAAGTTCATCTGAATAGAGAGTAGGCAGTTAACTAACTCAAAGCCTAGCAATGGGAAGGAGGACTAAGAAAACGACAATATATAATCTCAGCGACTTGATTTTTAAAAAACATTTAGAGATGTTTAAAGTAAATTAAAATACTAGCCCCTTGGAACTAAAAAATGGCTGGTTTTGTGGAAGGGAGTTATCTAAAAGACACATAAGAATTGTGCAATTTAGTCTTAAATGCCCTCTTCTGTTCTTCTAAGCAGACACTACTCAAGCTACTCACCGCTAGTATACCATGTGGGGTGTGACGTATATTGGTAATACGGCTGTGGAGCTGCTGCAGAGAGTAAAGAAAAAAAAATGTTAGAAAAGTGCACATCAAAATGGAATATTTACACACTACCGGCACAATACATGTAAGATATCAGGAAGTTAATATGCTAGGTAAATTGTTAATTCCATCCTAGTTTTTAAAGCATATGGTCCATGGAATGACAGTTTGTGCCCCTTTTGAATCAAGCAAAGCTTCAGGATAGAGACAGATTTCACTTGTAGTCTAAATCGCTTTGAGGGTTTCCACGAGGCCCAAGGACACAAATGCCTCAGACATAAGGATTAAGCTGTCTATCAGCAAAGAAATGCAACACCATCCATTGAAAATTTTTGAGGTTTTGACATTTGTTTTTTTCCAGAATGAACTGAAGTCTTTTCAATGCAGACTTGAGAAAACAGGCAGAGAAAAAGACTGAGACTAATCTCCAGAGCAAAAACTTAGCAAAAGCTAACTCTCCCATTTCCAGGATGGCCCAACCAGCAATGTGAAGGGTCAGTTGCTGTCTTTCTTGAATAAAACAGTTTCTTTTTGTATAAGTAACTGAACATATTAATTTAGCCAGAGATGCTGACATCATAGTCCCTTGCTTTATATAATTCCAAAGGAGATGCAAATTCAAGTCCATCCTCTGTTCTTGGGAAACAGCTTTCAGGAAAAAATGGTGGTTTGATGAGCTGGCATTTATTCCTTAAAAGCTAGTTAGCTGGAACTTTTTCATGTGGTATTGTTCAACCTTTAAGTGTGCTTTTAGCAGTGAGCCACATTTTAGCAGTGAGCAGAATTTGGTAGTATTTGTTAAAATACAGTTGTAAACCCAGAAAAGGCAGTTTCTATCTCTCTGGTAATTTCAGTTGCCTGAATCAATTTCCTTTGACAGATGCTGCTTCGTTTAGAAACTTAAACTAATGACTTACCCAGCGTGACAGCTGTGACAGCCTGTGCTGTGAATGAAACAAAATGTTATTTTAGAGGCTAGAAAGAATAAAAAGCAATCTCTCCCACTTCCTTCCTTCCACCAAAACCAACTCCAAAATCTTGTAATTATGTATAAATTTCTAAATATTTAAAAAAGAAACACTTAGTCAAACCAGTTTATTTAGTACTGCAACAAAGCAAATGTCATGAACAGGCAGAAAGCATGCCCTACTTTTCAGCAAAAATGTTACTTCTCCAAAGGCATGGGGTTTGCTCTGTGAGGGGCTGGGACAACCTGCTCTTCTCTGATTCCTCTGCGCCATCTTGTTCTAAACTGTACTCCTTGGAAGTCAGTAAGATTTATTCACCTGCTCCCACATTTTCCTAATCTTCTATTCTTTTTACATCTGAAGCTATGGAGGGGTGTCTGAAGACAGGGCTTTGGGCTGAAGAAGTAGCAATCACAGCATCAATGAAGACATCTCTGTATGAGAGACTGCTACAGACAAGCATCCGGGATTCAAGTGTTAGCCCTGGAAAGCAACTTAGTTGTACTGGCCTGAATTTTGTGATGGTGGGATGCTGCAATTATCAGATAGGGGGAACCGCACTGAAAATGATATTTACCAACTTTTCCAGCTGAAAAGTTTTTAACCTATTTACAGCACAGTCTTGATTTATTCACCAAGAATTTTATGAAAATATTGCATCCTAGATCAAGTAAGTGATGCAGGAAATCCATCTCTAACAGTTAAAAATATTAAGTAAATTTAATAAGAAATGTACATACCTTCAGCTGTTACCATGGGCAGGTAAGAAGTAAAAGGAAGAAAAAGAGAAATTTACAGTTTCAGTTGTATGATTAAGCAGGAAGGATTCTGACCCTGTTAAAACATATTCTAAGAAAAAAAATGTAAAACTGACAATTCAACAAGGTATCTTCTGTATTTTACAACTCCATTTCTTCCCAATGATAGAACTCAATATTTGTAGATCAAACAGAAACATACTGAAAGCAAAAAGCTCTTATGTGGGGCAGCAAAACTGTAATTAATCATGCATATGACAAGAGCACTATTAGTAATTGTTTTATTGTTATGCCATTTCCATGTTACAAAACGTTCCTTACTGGTTTTACTCTTTTGTGGTTTTTCAAGGCATTTGCATCATTCTATTAATACTGACTGGATGATTCAGCAATCCTATTTGTGAATCCAGACTCTAGGGTGTGTAAAAATTATTTTCTTTTCTTATACAGCAGCAGTGTTTTAAGTATTTTCTCCTATTACTTCTCTACGCTTTCTATACACAAAGAGGATTTACTTGGAAAGAGGTTCAGAAAAGGGCCTTTGTACTACAAGCACCTGGAAAGGGAAAGCAAAGAGCTGAAGATCACTGAGTGGATGCCACTTCTGTCAGATGTTTGGGTAAGTTTTTCCATCTTATGGAGTCCAGCTGTAAACTTTAAAGTTGTTACACTGCATAGTGACTTGAATGTTAAATTAAACATGAACTGTTTTTATGTCAGTATCCCATTATGATAGTTATGAAAAATAATGCAAAAATTTTATCAGCACAATGCCTGAAGAATTATTCAAAATTGAAGGGCAATTAGCAATTAATTGGTTTCAGGACTTAATCCAGTTGAAAGAAAAACCCACTAACCTCCAGTAAGCATCTCTGTTATGCTAAAATGCCTTAAGTTACCATGCCAAATTCAGGACATGAGAAAGTTTTTCATCCAGAAGCCAGCAGAGAGCCCACACAGAGCCTGGGAAGAACTTTTAGGAGCAATAAGCAAACGTTTGGGGAAAAAATAATGGATGCTAATAGAAGAGACTGAAAAGCCTCAGGAGAAGTTTGTCAGACCTGTTGAATGAAGGAGAGATGAGGATGGCCCAAACAACAGATATAGATGAGGGTAGGGTGGCTTTGGGGTGCACTGAGCAGATAGCATTTGCCTTACTTCGCTAAAGAGGAACAGAGTCATTTTGTTTCACACAGGTTAAACAAAGAAGCTGAACTGTATGAAAGCACAGTGTTTTACTGAGCAAGGAGTTAATAATTAGCCAAAGTATGAGAGGAGTTGAGAACAAATTGTGCATTTTCAATATAATTGCTTCTCTTTCTGCAATATATATGAATATTATGTTTTACAGGTATAACCTCCGTCTCTTTACAACCTGATATATCTTGCACAAGGAAAATCTCATGCAAATTTTCCCCTTTCATGTAGAAAATGTTACTACATCTATCCCTAAGCTGAAGTATGTAGAAAAATAAAGGAGAAAGTGATGTGAACTAAACTGAATATAGCTGGATTATTAGATTAGAAATGCTTCTTGGTTTTAATTTTTTTTATGTAATGTTTTATATATTTAGCTTAAAATACACTTGTTTTGAATTTATAGTATTTTGCCTGTATGATTTAGTAGTGAAGGATGGTTTGATGGAAATGAGCTTTACAATGAAAAGTAATTTTGCATAAAACATACGCGTGCGAGGCTTGGAAAGTAGATTTTTCAGATACATGTTTAAAACTGTGCCCACACAAAAGCCTTTCTTTAGGGGAACATCAAAGAACACTTGGCTTCTCAAATAAAGTAAAACTGTGAAAATGTCTATACCTTCAATGGGTTTATCGGCAATCCCATCTTGATTGTCAAGGTCTTCTGGCTTTGTTACCACCATGGATGTCAGTGGTGTTACAAACTTGTATTTTAGTGAGAGATCCAGGGCTTCTGCTGTAAGATTCTCCTTTTCTTCTCCTGTAGCTGCAATACTGAATACAGGTAGAGACTCCTAGCATCAATGGTTGTTAAATTACTCACTGAACTCTGGATTAAATATTTTTCTTTAAAGTGAAGTTGTTTCACTGCAGCTAATTTATCAATAAGGAATATTTTTTACAGTCTAAGAGCACTTCTGATTCCACTGGCTATCCAAGAAAAAGGCAAAACTGTGCTTTATATTTGCAATAGTTTAAAATTGTTTAATTTGCAACCTGAAACACGAATACTGAGGTTGAGGAGGAGAACAGGTTGGGGGATTTTCCTTACTTTTTTTTATGCTTTTCCACTGGCACCTTAGTGTGATGTGAATTTCAGCTTCACATCCTAGAAGTTGAACCAGCCAGATGGCTTAATGGGTTCATAGCTAAGATGTTGTTCTAGATATAATTACCGTTTTTCCAGGAGTTGTTCAATGGTGAGATAAGCCCAGAGCCTTTCAATGTAATCTCCAAATATGTATTCTTGTTCTTGGAAAGCTTTAGCTGTTTGCTCAGCATCTTGTTGTGTAGTATATGACAGGGCATCATTAGCCTGTTAGGAATAAGGGAACTTCTCTGTATCATAAGTAGCCAGGGACTTCCAGACTCAAAAAATCCCCAAATCAAGACCTTTACATCTGAGAATATTATTAAATTGACAAACAGTCTGGTCTTACACAGCACTTGCCCAGGAAATGGTCCATGTTGTATCAGAATCTTTGTTCCCTTGCTTCTGTGAAGGTTAGTAGTGTACACTACAGGACATAATGCAGTTTCCAAATTCACATGGCATTTTTGTTCATTAGAATTTGGCTACTCAGGATTTAAAGAACTTTGATTATGATGCCGATTTCATATAGGAACATGTTCAAGCAGATATGCTTACTAATAATACATTATTTGTATTTGAAATACATCTAATTTCATATAATATATTTAATACAACACAGTGCATGGGGCATACATACAGTTCACAGTATTTATGATAACATGATCTATAATATGTTTGTATTGTGTTTCTTGAATATCAGGGGCAAATATTTTTACAGAATCCAGATGTGGAGAGGTATTTAGACCACTTGGTTTGTATTAGAAGTAGACTTCTCTTTTAAGAGGAAGGCATTTCAAATATTCAGCTGTCTTATCCCTCAGTTTTCTTCACCCAGTGAAGACTAGTGTCTGTGAACACTGAACATTTGGCTCCTGAAAGAACCAGGTAGGGTATTTAGAGATTAAATTTAAAAAAAAAAAAAAAAAAAAATCTGTTAGCAAAGCTAATCCAGTCACCCTGAACAAAGTTGTTCCAGACTGACCCTAATATACCTGACTGAGTTAGGGAAGTAAATTGCAGTTTTAAAAGCAATGACTTTGGCGCATTTAGTTTCTCACATATGCAGTAACAACACATCCTGTCACTGAGGTAAAGAAATACCAGTAAATATTTGAAGTATTGCCAGCTTTGAACATTCAGACATTTTGTGTAGCAAGGAAATACCTTACTTAAGTCAAAGAAATCCATACTTACGCCTTCACCTCTCACATCTACAGTCAAACTGTTTTGGTTGCTATCTATAAAGCGCCCAGCCACCACAATCTCAGACCCATCATAGAAATGCTTAAAACTGTTTTTAGTTAGGTCTGATATTTCATTTTCTGGGTAGTTTAACTCCACATCAGTGAGCATGGGATTCGACACCTCATCATAAAACCCCTATAGGATAAAAAAAAAGGAAAACATGTAACTATTATTGTTTCTCTAATTTGTAGCTAGATCTGTACCCAGAAATATCCTGCTATTTCAGCAAAGAAAACTAAAAGTGTATTTTAGAAGAAATATTTAAATATTCAGTTAAATCTCAAGAGTACAAGGCCTAAAAATCTACAAATAAGGGAAATGAGGAAGGACATACAAACACTTCAGTCTCACTAAGAGAGAGGGAAAATATCTGGGAACAACATGCTGTGGATGATGTGTTCCTTCAATGTTAATCAAGAGGGATCCCAAGCTCCCCCCCATTTGATAGAAATAAGTTTCTAGATCCCTGCAGAGACTGAAATGACAACATGAGCCAAAGGAGACTAGGAATTTGATTTTGGCAGAGCTTGCAATGAAATCCAGTATCTAAATTCTTTGGTGAATTTTTCAAATGGCTGCTATTGGAATGTGAGAAGTAAAAAAGGTCAACTCTGTACTGCCTATACCTGTTCCCATGCCTTACACAACTACAGAATGCTTCAGAACTATGGTAAGATACACCTGCTTGCAGTAAATTCCTAAAGACAGACTATCTAGAACCTTTATGCTCTGTCATCCTTGTCTTCGCTTGACATGACGTTAACTACACCATCTGTGAGGTATCGGAGATATAGTGACTGCAGCAATTTTGCTGCACACCGAAGTGTCCTTCAGAACCATGACTTGTGTCACCTTATGCCAAGTTTTGAACCCTCTTCCATAGCCCACAGTATCTCCCTTTTACTGTCCTTCAACTTTCTTCTTATATAAGGGAAGGGTAAAATTAAATGCAACCAATATTCTGATCACAGCAGACTCTTGAGTATCTCAGTACCAGATTACACTTTGGGATTTTGATTACTTCAAAATAAGAATGTCTGTATGGTTATCTGAATTAATGTATCTCTCACCTGAGTTAAGTGGTGATTACTGTACCTGAAGCTGTAAAGCTGCATCAGAGTCAGGATAAATCCGACGGGCCAATCCTTTATTCTCCAGTGCCATCTTCTCCAAGAAGCTGTAGTCAACACCATAGCCAAAACCAAGATTGTATAAGGGATATTTTCCTTCAATGGCTTTTTTTACATGTGCCTGAATGTCCTGAGTATTTGATACGCCTGCATCAAACCAGAAAAAGTTTGAGTTTTCTTCATAAATAGATAAAATTATCACAAAATGAAATGTGGCTAGTCATGTTTGGATTTCTTAGGAGGCATTATCAAAAACTTGTTTTAGTATATGCTGGTATAGCAGCATTTTATATATATATATATATATAATTTATATATATAGT